CTAGGAGGGGAGAAACAGAGCTGCTTGTGGAGGATTTCTTCCAGCAGCCTGATGGAGGCTGAGGACATTCCCTGCTGCTATCAGAGAAGACAAGCTGCCCAGCTTTGTCCAGAGCCCCAGGCACCCTGGCTTGCAGGTGCCCCTAAGTTCTACCATTCTAAAGAAGTGTCAGGATGACTCTGCCTCTGCGGCCGTCCTGGGTGTCAGCCCCAGTTCTCTCTGAGGTGTCTGTGAGCATGTTTTTCCCACGTGAAATGAGGACAGTGCCAGGTGCTCTTCAGAGGACCGAGTTTGGTTCTCAGCGTCTACACTGGGTAGCTCAGAACTATCCAACTCCCGCTCCAGAGGATTCAACACCCTTTATGGCCTCTGTGAGCACCAGCCCTCTCATACAGACAAACACACACAAATAAAAATAAGTATTAAAAGAGGACAGTGACAGACTTGGTGGCACACGCCTGTGATCCCAGCACTCAAGAGGCCAGTGGATCTCTGTGAGTTCAAGGCCAGCCTGGCCTACAAATAGAGTACAGGACAGCCAAGGCCACACAGAGAAACCTGTCTCGAAACAAAACAGAAAAAAAGGACAGTGACAGCATGTCTCTCACACATTGGTAGGAAGCTCAGATGTGGCAATGTCTGCAAAGAAGCTGTTGGATTTTGTTAATTTTTTATTGTTATTATTATTTGACGTGTATTCGTGTTTTGCCTTCATGTGTGTCTGTGTACCACACATGCTGCTGCTTGAGGTGGTGAGGCTCCATGTGGGTGCTGGGAATTGAACTCCAGTCCTTTGCAGCAACAAGTGCTCTAAACCACTGAGTGAACTCCAGCCCTTTTTCTTAAATTCTTAGAAGGTTGGGTCAGGCATGGTAGCACACATGCCTGTGTGCTCTAATCACAGCACTCTAAACCCAGAGTTGGGTTGATCTCTGTGAGTTCAAGGCCAGGCTGTTCTACAGAGTGCGTTCCAGCGCAGCAAGGGCTGTTAACACAGAGAAACCCTGTCTCAAAAAAACAACAAAACAAAAGGCTTAAAGATTTGTTATTCACTCACTTACTCGTCAATTAATTAATTAATTAATTAATGAGGCAGGATCTCTTCTATGGCCTTGGCCGTCCTGGAACTCACTGTGTAGACCAGGCCGGCCTCATACTCACAGAAGATCCTCTTGCCTCTGCCTCCTGAGTGCTGGGACTAAAGCTATGTGCCAGCGTGCCCGACTCTTTTATATGTGTATATGAGTGTTTTGCCTGCTTGTGTGTATGTGCGCTACCTTCAAGCAGTGCTAGCAGAGGTAAGAAGCCAGTGTCACATCCCTCGGGACCTGGAGCTATGGATGATTTGGGTCTCTGTGTGGGGGCTGGAAATCAAACATGGCCTTTTACGAGAGTTCCAAGTACTTCTGGGCCATCTCTCCAGCCCCATAAACCACGTTTTTTTCCCCCTTTGAGACAGAGTTTTGATATGTAGTTCTTGCTATCCTGGAGTAAAATCTTTTTCTCTCTCTTTTTCTTTGCTCTCTGTCTCAGTCTCTCTCTCTCTCTTTTTCTCTCTCTCTCTCTCTTTTCCCAGACAGGGTTTCTTTGTGTATGTAGTCTTGGCTGTCCTGGAACTCACTCTTGGACCAGGCTGGCCTTGAACTCAGAGATCCACCTTCCTCTGCTTCTCTGAGTGCTGGGATTAAAGCTGTGGGCCACCACTGCCTCACTAGAGTCTGTTCTTAAATGACAGTAATGGTTGCAGGTGGTTTTTGTTTTTGGCGTTTTTTGCTTGTTTGTTTTGGGGTCATTTTGATTGGTTTATTTCATTTGTGTTTTGAGACAAGGTTTCACTCTGATCCCTAGGTGGCCTGGAGCTTCTTATGTAGACCATGCTGTTTTCAAACTTGTTCTGAGCACCGGGTTTATGGGCTTGGGCCATCTAGCCCAGCCAGTGATGGTCATGTTAACAACAATATTATTTAATTTTGCTTTTGGAGACATAGTCTCACTGTTTATCACCCAGACCCTGGCTGGCCTGGAAATCACTGTGTAGACCACGCTGACCTTGAATTCACAGAGATGCCTTTGAGTGCTGAGATTAGCAGCAGCCTGGAATGGTGTTGGAGTTTGGAGGGTAGCCAAGATACCAGGTCCCCCCTGACGCGGTGTGCTCCTCCCACTCTCTGCAGGCTGTGGAGGGCAGCATGATAGTGAGCTCCTCTTCCGACCATTCCTTGACGGTCTGGAAGGAGCTGGAGCAGAAGCCCACACACCACTACAGGTCGGCATCGGATCCCGTCCACACCTTCGACTTGTACGGCAGTGAGGTGGTCACTGGCACTGTGGCCAACAAGATCGGCGTCTGTTCTCTGCTTGAGCCACCCTCCCAGGCTACCACAAAGCTCAGTTCTGAGAACTTCCGTGGCACACTCACCAGCCTGGCTGTGCTGCCTACAAAACGCCACCTTCTGCTGGGCTCGGACAATGGCATCACCCGCCTCCTGGCGTAGGTTCAGGCAGGAGTTGGCTGTGGGCAAGGGTGAAGAGACAGCCCTCAGATCCCCTCCTCAGCCTTGACCTCTCAGCAGCCTCCTCTAGGCAAGTCCCAGGCTTTGGGTACCCACATGGCCTGCTGTCTGGGGTCACACAGCTCCTGAATCTCCAAAGCCATGAAGTGGCTTCATTCATGGAACTGGGGAGATGCTGTTCCCAACCAGCAAGACAGGGAGCAGGGAGAAGCACTGAGGTCCTCATTGCTCCCCAGCTCTGCCTTCTGGGTTCACATGGGGAGAGGGACCCTCCAAGAAATGAGAGGGTCTGTGTTCGGCCAGCTTCTTCTAGGCAAGCCCTCCCTAGCTCTGTCTCCCGTCCAAGTACTGACGGTACCTGGGCTCCAGCCTAAGGAGGGCTAGCCATGACCCAGGAGTTTAAGGACTTGAGCTGGGGTGACGTATCCACTTGGCCAGGTCTTCCCAGTATGGGACCAGAAAAGGGGGGAGAGGGGAAGTAGAGCCAGGGAAGAGGTTATATGGACCCAGATGGTCCAGGAATGAATCCATGCCTTGCCTTGTACCCCTAACCACAAGTGTTTGTGCCTTGAGCTGGGGAGGCAGCCCTTGGGACCAGCACCCCTAGGGAGAAGGGGCAGCAGGAATCATCTCTGCATCTCAGGTTCCTCCCTGGGGTGGGAAGAGCCTGGCATCTCTTGAGTCCCCATTTGGAGCAGAGAAGAGGTCTGAGATGAGGCCCCTGCTGCCTCCTCACTATTTGCAATCCATGTAAATATCAATAAATTCTTTGGAAGAGCCATGGAGCTGAGTGAGGCTGTGTTGTGTTTTGTTTTGCCAAGGCTGGGCTCAGGCATTTCTGCCTCGGCCTTCCATGGAGCTGGGGTAGTGGCATATATCACCATGTTTGGCTTATAGCTTGTCTTTGTTTTTTTGAGATGGTTTCACATAGCTCAGGTTGGTCTTAATCTTGGGGTGACCCTCCTGTCTGAAGCAGAGTGCTGGGCTTATAGGCATGAGCCACCAGGCACAACTTAATTCTTTTTTTTTTTTTTTTTGAGACAGGGTTTCTCTATGTAGCCCTGGCTGCCCTGGACTCACTTTGTAGACCAGGCTGGCCGGCTCCAAGTTTCATTTTTTTAAAGACATTTTTGCATGTGTATGAGTGATTTCTCCACTTGTACATATGTGTACCAAGTGTGTGTCTAGTCCCTGCGGAGATCAGAAGAGGGCATCAGGTCCCCGGGACTGGAGGCAACTGTCGGTTGTGAGCCACAGCGTAGCCGATAGGAATTGAACCTGGATCCTCTGGAAGAGCAGCCAGTGTTCTTAACCTCTGAGCTGTAACTATAGGCCCATGCCCAGCTTTTTTTTTTTTTTTTTTTTTTTTTTCATACAAGGTCTAGTCCCTCAAACCACTGGCCTTGAACTTGATGTGTAGCTGAGGTTGACCTTGTTATATTCCCCACCCTCTCACCTCTACCCTCCAAGTGCTGGTATTGGCTTGTATCACCAAGTTCGTCTTGATGGCAGTAGGGTCAGGAAAGCTAAGAGCTGGTAGTTTCCAGAGCTCTGAGGAGCAGAGCAAGAGGTGCAGTGAGGGAACCATTGTCCTCTGGTTGCCTTGGATGCAGAGCTTCTGGTCTCGGTGGCGGGGCCAGTTTCAGCCTGCTCATCCTTGGGGAAAGTGAACACTGCTGAAGAGGTGGGACCCTGGAGGGCCTGCCTCCTTCTGAGTCTCATCTCCCCACCCCTTGCCTTGGGCCCCAGGAACCTGGGCTTGTGACAGTTGGGTGAACAGGCTCCTGCAGCAGCCCCTTCCCTGGAACAGTTGTGGTTGGGGGTGGGGAGATGGCGGGTTGTGACTCCGGTCCCAGTTCTGTGCCCTTGTGAGGATCACACAGTCCCCCTAAGCCTGACTGGATAATCCCCACGTGTTGAGGGATCAGGGGAAGGCTTGCCAGGTCCCTGAGCATCCCCGATCTACTCTTGCCTGGCCCGACCTGGCCTCGTCGACTGTCTGCCCCTGTAACTCCCTCCTCCAGGCTCAGGCAGGGTTCTGGGTGGCTGTCTTAAGATTAGAAGCTTTGGTGGGAAAGGGGCTTCTGGCCCCCATATCAATGTTTAACCGGATGTGCAGGTCAATATTTACCAGCAGAGAACGCAAGCTGAACGGGGGTTGGCTGAGAGCAAAGGTCCTGTGGGAGGAGAGAGCTGGGCTGGCTGGCTGCACCGTGCAGAGCGTGGGGATTGAGCGGGTCCAGAACACTGTGTGCTGCAGCGAGAAGCCTGGAGAGGTAGGACAGAGGGGTGGTACAGATGAGGGGGCAGCTGCACCTGGGCAAGGGGTCTGGCTGAATTTATCCAGGGAGCCTGCGGCTTCACAGAGGCCTGGGGTGGTGAGGAGCAGAGGTGCGGCAGCTTCAGAAGTCTCTCCAGCACTTCAAAGCCTGGAGGACTGTCCTTACTGGGAGGAGGTTGCAGATGAGGCCCTGGCTGAAGGTATTGGACACAATGGTGGGGGTGACGGAAGAATGCTCCGGAAGAGCTGGCCCTGAGACAAGGCATGGGTAGGAGTTGGGGATGGGAAGGAATCCTTTATTGGAGGCTCCGGACAGAAACCTGCCCACCCCCACTGGCCAGTCGGGCTTCCCGAAAGCACCTTGGAGCAGAATTCAGGGCCGAATTGGGATGAGGCTCATGGTCCCTGTAAGTCCAAAGGTGTCTGGGTCAGTCATTCACTGGGCTCTGCTACTGGGTCAACAAAGCAGCTTCCTGGCTGCCCTGCCACCAGAGCTGAACTCTCGGGGCCTTTGGGTAGGACCTGGACGGCTTGAGGAAGGCTGGAGGAAATGAACAACAGGTCAGATGGGTTCTTCAGGATGGGAAGCCTTCCCTGATATCTGTCACTGAGGGCCAGGCATCATACTCAATATTTACAAAGATTCTTATTTTGGTCCTCAAAAAATCTACATGTGAAGAGGAAGGACTTCTACCACAAATTTTCAAGACAAGGCAAAGCTCAAAGGCATTAAGGGAAGAGCCTAATGTCCTCTGGCAAGAAGCAGAGACTAGATTTGAACCCAGGACTGGTCAGCAATATGAAACTTAAAGAATACAGACTAAGTGAAAAACCACAAGGGTGAAAACAAATTCATGAAAATCCCACCTCTCAGGTTAAGGTCCACAGTTTTAGGTGTGGGTCCAGGTTCCACAGCCTGGCGGGGTCAGGGAGCCCGTGGGTAGCAATCAGTCTACTTCCTGGTGTTTTGAGTGTGAAGTGGGGACTGACTCTTCCTGTTTTGGATGCAGGATCATGACACTGCTCCAGGGGCTCCTGGTACTCAGCTTATCCTGTCTGCAAATCCCCTGCTCCACGGTGAGGCTGAACTGAGAGGTCTGGGTGGGGCGAAGGCAGTCAGGTTGAAGGAGATGCTGGGGGTAGGGGCAGGTTTGGAAGAGGACAGAGGGGTTGGGAGGGAGAAGCTGTGTCCAGGGAGCAGTTAGCTCTGAGGGACCTCCCTGCCTATGGTCACCCTTTTCTCAGCAGATCTCTCCTGTGGGTGCCATGGATCTCCCGAGCCAGCAGGTACTCAAAAGTGAGGGCTTCGGAGGGAAGAGCTCAAGGTTTTCACCCATGTCTTGGGCAAGGTGGGGACATATAGGAAGGGCCTTTTCTCCATCTCCTTTCTCCTTTCTCCAGCCAGTGAGCGAGCAGGCCCAGCAGAAGCTGACCCCGCTTGCCCTCCTCAAGTTAGCCAACCAGGTACAACCAGGTGGGGCTGGGGAAGAGTGGGTGGGGCCAGAGGGAAGAGCAAGAGAATGGGGGAGAGGAGACATGGTCCTGAGACTGATGTTCACGGGTTCAGAAGGGATGGGACTCCAGCATGGCCATCTCCTCAGATCTTTGCTCCCCTGTAGCATGAGGATTGTGAGGGAGATGAGGAGAACCTGGAGCTGACCCCTTGACCTTACTGACCTCTGATCTGTCCTTGTAGGGTGTTGGTGACCATGCCCCCCTGAAGAGGTCCCTGGGAGACTGCAAGAGTACCCCAACTGCAGAGGAGAGTCGCTGGCTGGCTCAGGCCATGATGGCTTTTACCACTGACCTGTTCTCCTCGGTGGCCCAAACATCCACCAGCTCCAACCTTGTCCTGTCACCCCTTAGTGTGGCCCTAGCCCTCGCTCACCTAGCACTAGGTACTGGGGCAGCACCTGTCCAGAAGTCGGAAGCCACAAAGGGTTCAGTGCCGCAGGGGTTCCTCCATCAGGGACACATTTGGTAGAATGCAGGTGTCTGAGCTGGCACCACCCTCTATGAGTCAGAAATCAAGGGGTAGCCTACAAATGTGGTGGTTGACAAGTCCCCCGAGTTATTTTAGCACAAGAGTTTGGTGGCTATAGAATCTTCCACTGGACATGAAGGCCTCGCTGTGGGAAACGGCGGTACCCTGAGTGAGTCAGCAGCAGAAATGAAAGTAGAATTTGAGGGTCCTATGGCTCAGTGGGTGTGGGAGGGGAGGAGAACAGTGGTCCTTCGCCATGTGGATGTGAGAGGGTGCGAGTGGGAAGTAGGGCAAGAAAGAACCTGTGGCCTGGGCCTCAGCCCACTTGGTCCCCTTCAGGTGCTCAGAACCAAACACTGCAGAGCTTGCATCGAGTGTTGCATGTGGACACAGGGTCCTGCCTTCCCCATCTACTGAGCCACCTCAGCCAGAACCTAGGCCCCGGGACAATCCGACTGGCTGCCAGAATATACCTGCAGAAAGGTAGGTGCTGACGGCACTCACTGCCCAAGAAGTGCCCTGCCATTAGTGAACAAGACTGAGGGAGAGGGCTTGGTTTCGGTAGCCAGGCAGAATGCTGGCGGCTGTGGAGGCCCCGCCCTGGGATGAGCTTCTGGCTCATTGCTTGCAGGATTTCCCATCAAGGATAGTTTCCTGGAGCAATCAGAAAAGCTCTTTGGTGCAAAGCCTGTGAAACTGACTGGAAGGCAGGAGGAAGACCTGATGAACATCAACCAATGGGTGAAGAAGGCCACGGAGGGGAAGATTGAGGATTTCCTCTCTGAGCTGCCAGACAATACTGTGTTGCTTCTCCTCAATGCCATCCACTTTCACGGTGGGCTCTTCTTCCTCCTCCTCTTCCTTCTCCCCCTCTTTCTCCTCTTCCTCCTCCTCCTCCTCCTTCTTCTGTTTATGTTTTTTCAAGACAGGATTGCTCTGTGTAGCCTTGGCTGTCCTGGACTCACTTTGAAGGCCAGGCTAGCCTCGAACTCACAGAGATCCACCGGCCTCTGCCTGCCTGCGTGCTGGAATCACAGGCGTGCACTCGGTGGCGCTCTGTTCTTAAGCTGCTCACCCGGACAGCCCCACCTGCTCTGTCAGCTAAGTGGGGTTGTGTAAGCTTTGCTCTGAAGTTGCTAGGCCATAGAGTGGGAGATTGTCTGGTTGTGTGAAAAGGAAGCTCAGAAACTGTGAAGGACAGACCACCCTGAGAGAAAACTAGGACCATAGAGGGACGGAGAAACGCAAGCCCAATGTAGGGAGGGCACCTGAGATCGATGGGGTGGCAACTGGCCCACCTCTGGGAGCTTGGCTCCTACCGTTTGTTCCCTGAATGGGTTCTAGGTGCATAGGGCAGGAGGCTGATCGTATGTTACATGGCTCCTGCCCTCTGCCTGGCTGCAGGTTTCTGGAGAACCATGTTTGACTCGAGCCTCACCCAGAAAGACTCCTTCTACCTGGATGAGCAGTTCATGGTGCCTGTGGACATGATGCACGCACAGTCCTACCCTCTGCGATGGTTCCTGCTGGAGCAACCTGAGATACAGGTCATCCTGGCTTTTGGCTTTTGCTAGCAGACTAGGCCTGGTACTGGGAGAGAGGGTCTGTTATGTCTCCATTCAGAACACCGCCTCTTTGAGGTTCATTTGCTAAGATAATATATTGAGCTTTTGTCACATGCCAGATACTGTTGGGATCTACTCTGGGATTCTAGTGGCTCCCAAGAAGACCAGGGCCCTGCTTTGAAAGAAAGATAAGGGTTCCCACACAGAGCTTCTTTAAGGGAATTTGGGTTTTGAAGCCTGCTGCTCAGAGCATTCCGATTGGAGGGAGCTGCATGCCAAGCTGGCTTCCCTTGCTTCGTGTGGCTCCTTGGCTAGGATATTGATCCTTGGGCCCATTACCTGTGCCCGAGACAAGAGTATGGGCTGATTCTGTTTGTTTGAGACATTGTCTGGCAATGCTACACAGACTGGCTTTGAACTCATGATCTTCCTGTACCTGCTGTCTGAGTGCTGGGATGCCAGGTGTGTGGCATACACCTACTCACCCATTCTGTCAGTTAGTTTTGCTGGGCAAGCAAGGCATAGCATTGGTGGTTCTGCAGGAAGGAGCCTTGTGGGCAGCCTGACTTCTCTCTAGCTCGTGAGAGAATGATCGCCTGGTTGGCTCCGCCGAGTGCCTCACCTTCCTGTTGCTCCTGCCCTGGAAGCCCTGTGCTACGAACTCTTCCTTCATCCCCTGGCCCCATCTCCCCAACCTCCTTTGGCCTTTCATAGTCAGGCCCAGGCAGCCAGGCCTGGCACCCATCCTCCCACTGGTGCTATGCTACAACTCAGAGGGTCTCAGCATCAAGAGTCTTGAGCCTGGTGATTTCTATGCTGCCTTAACTGCAAGAATTCTTCAAAAAAGGTTCTATGGACTAAGTGCAGTGGCTTACACCATAATCCCAGCACTTAGGAGGTTGAAGCAGTTTGATGATAGTCAGGGCTATAACCAGACCCTGTCTAAAGAGAAAAAGAAAAGTTCCATTCCAAATCTCGGCATAGATAGCAAATTCACTGGGTGAAGGTGAAAGGTGAGAGAGGCAGATTCCTACCCTTTCCAGTGGCTCCTCTATAGGTCATTTTGAAAGGCAGTAGCTCCACCTGCTATCTATAGGCAGGACTGAGAGGCAAGGCCCGGAAGGTCCGTAGCTTGTTTGTCCAGCCAGCTGGTAGCAAGTGGAGAAGCCATCTGTACTCCAGAAGACTCCAGAAGATTCAAGTGTGGCTGGTCACTAGTTCCGAGTCCTTGCCCCGCGTGCATGAAGCCCTTTGTTCTTCCCCTAGCCTCATATAAGCCGGGCACGCCGATGCCACCTGCTGTCACGAGTACTTCTGAGACAGAGGCAGGAGGATCAAAAGTTCAAAGTGGAGAAACAGCTCCGCAGTTAAGAGCACTTGCTGTTCTTGCAGAGGACCAGGGGCTGATTCCCAGCACCCACTAGGCAGCTCTTAACCACCTGTCACTCAGATTCCAGGGGAAACGACACCCTCCTCTGGACTGTGAGGGTGCTGCAGGTATATGAGGCACAAACATTCAGGCAAAATGCCCATATACTAAAATAAAAATAGACCTTGGAAGGAGGCTCAGAGTCATCCCAGTTACACAGTGAGTTTGAGGACAGCCTGAGATACAAAACCCTGTCTTTTGTTGTTGTTGTTTAGAAACAGGGTTTCTCTGTGTAGCTTTGGCTGTCCTGGACTCGCATTGTAGCCCAGGCTAGCCCCAAACTCATGAGATCCACCTGCCTCTGCCTCCCAAGTGCACCACCAATACCTGGCTTACTCACTCACTCACCAATGCCCTGTCTTTAAAAAGCAAAACAAAACAAAAATTGGGCTTGATGGTACAGCTCTGTAATCCCAGCACTTAGGAGGCGGAGAGGCAAGAGGATCAGAAGTTCATGGTCATCCTTGGCGAGATAGTAACTTCCAAGCCAGCTTGGTGTTTATGAGGTCCTGTGTCCAAAAAAGGTGTCAGGAGGCAGAGGCAGGCAGATCTCTGTGAGTTCAGTGCCAGCCTGGTCTATATGGCAAGCTCTAGGACAGCCAGGCCTACACAAAGAAACCTTGTGTAGAAAGAACAACAAAAAGATGACCAAAAAAAGGTGGTGAGCAACTTAGGAAGACAACTGATGTCTGCCTCCCTTTGCTTTCACACACACACATGTGCAAACACACTTGTGCATGTTTGCGCATGTATGCACACACAGAGATGTAAATGCATTATCTCATCTGGTCACGTGCCCCCCTGATATCACTCTGCTTCCCAGGTAAAGTGAAGGCACACTAAGCTTGAACCTCTGGCTCTTGTCTCAAAAGTACAGAAGTAGCCAGGGCGGTGTTGCCTGTCTATAATCCCAGCACTCAGAGAGGCAGAGACAGGCAGATCTCTGTGAGTTAGAACCAGGCTGGTCTACAGAGGGAGCCCAGGGCAGCCAAGGCTACACACAGAAGCCCTGTCTCGAAAAACCAAAACAAACAAATAAACAAAAATTACAGAATTTAGGCCCAGACTCCAGTCAGGTCAAGGTGCATTCTGGTCCTCACGGTCTCTCCTTTTCTTGTCTGTAGGTGGCTCATTTCCCCTTCAAGAACAACATGAGCTTTGTGGTCATGATGCCCACTCATTTTAAGTGGAACGTGTCTCAAGTACTAGCCAACCTGAGCTGGGATACGCTATACCAGCCCTCTCTGCGGGAGAAGCCCACCAAGGTGCAGCTGCCTAAACTCCATCTGAAGCAGCAGCTGGACCTAGTGGCCACCCTCAGCCAGCTGGGTAAGGGAGTTGGGGAGAGGGTGGGCCCAGGGGTCTGGGCAGGGTATGTGAGCTGGCAGGGTGTCTGAATCAGAGGCGGCCCGCAGCCTGGAGCATTCAATACGCTCCCTCTCCTTCTGTCCTGGGTAGATTGGGATGAACTACTCTGCCACCTAAGACCGGGCATCACAAAGAACCCTGGGTAAAGAGTTCAGGGTGATATGTGAACCTCACTGGCTAGCTTGGAAAGGGAAGAGGAGAGGCTGGGTCGCCATGTTGAAGAGCTAAGAACTCAGTGTGTACAAAGGGCTCAGCCTAATGGAGTGAGCGCTTGAGGACTCAGGTATTTACCCTGGAGGACATCAAACCAGGACCTAGGGCAGACTTTGATCAAAAAGGCTTCTAGCTGGACGTGCCTGTAATCCCAGCAGTTCATGGTCTACAAAGCATGCCCAGGACAGCCAGGGCTATTACACAGAGAAACCCTGTCTGGAAAACAGAACAAAACAAGGTTTCCAGAAGTGGTGTCCAGGCTGAGACGTGAAGGATTAATGGATACCAATTAACATGTGGGTTCCAGCGTTCCCTTTAGCGAGGATGCCAGACAGGACCACGTGGCCTGGGGGCAGCACTGACCAGTCATCTGCTGCTCTGGACAGGCCTACAGGAATTGTTTCAGGGCCCAGACCTGCGTGGGATCTCTGACCAGAGTCTGGTGGTGTCTGGCGTGCAGCACCAGTCAACCATGGAACTCAGTGAGGCTGGCGTGGAGGCGGCCGCAGCCACCAGCACAGCCATGACTCGGATGTCCATCTCCTCCTTCACTGTGAACCGACCCTTCCTCTTCTTCATCATGGACGACACCGTAGGCATGCCCCTTTTTGTGGGCAGCGTGAGGAACCCCAACCCCACCGCACAGGCCCAGCTCCGGGAACAGCAGGATTCCCCTGACAACAGGGTCGTCCGGAAAGACAAGGCCGACTTACATGGAGACAAGACCTTCGGCCCTGACTTGAAACTTGCACCCCGCTTGGAGGAGGACTACCCCCAGTTTAGTGACCCCAAGTGAGGGGTTCATGGGCAGCAGCACCCTGAGTCCCCACCTGGATCAGCTTCTCAACTCTTGTGACTCTTTCCAACCAGCTTGTGGGGTAGGGTGGGGCCTGGGGAGATGGTCTCCAGGGACAGGAGCAGTTCTTAGAGCAGCTCCGGGATAGGAGGTGGGGCGGGGCCTGGAGGGAGGCAGGCACAGGGAGTCTTCTTTTCTTCCAGAGGGACTCAGGGGTGACCTTGTGTGGGCTGGACACTTATGGATGGATACAGTTTTGGCTAGTGGTAGGTTAAACAAGACCCTAATATAGGTAGTTGGGGTCCCTTCACATTTGTAAGCGGAGGCTGGAGAGGCCCTCTTCAGACATGTCCCTCAAACACCCTAGGTGGGAAAAGGAGAGACAGGTGTTGGTCTCCTGAGCTCAGACCCTGACCTTGCTGTTGTACATCGTGGGTGGAGGCTGACCTACCCAGATTCTGATGTTGCTGAACACATCTAGCCCCCCCCCCCCCCCC